TCTCTCTCTCTCTCTCTCTCTTTCTCTCTCTCTGTCTGCCTTTTCACTTCCCATGTGCATAATTTCCCTTTATATTAGCCACTTTTCAATACACTTGACAATGAGACTGAAATAGAAGTTAGTTGGTTAAAAAATCCAGTACACGCCGATCGATTTACGTCACGATTGAAAAAAGATAAATAAATTTACCCTTAAATCACGCACAGGTGTGCACGGCAACACCATGGCCCTTCGCCGCTCTCCAGAAGCACTTTGCCGGGGTTACAATAAGCGTTCACGTACTCAGCGCTCGCTGCAGTACTTGCGTCAACGATTCCGTCTGATAAATCGTTTTTTGATACAATCCTTACTACCGTGGACAAGATAACGTTTGAATTTAAGATCTTTAAGCAACATTTTGTCGTTCGATAACTCTAACTTTCCTTTGAAGACTTTTGTTTTGCTATCACTCTTAACGATTTCGTTTGCGTTTTGCTGCAAACGTGCTAAGACAGCAAAATAAATACAGATAAAATATCAAAGAATGTATTCTGACACATTTTCTGTCGTCTGATTTATAGTGTCATTTCTGGGCTAAAGTACCTATGTACTCATTTGAACACAGAAGTACTTTGTGTTCTTGAACATTTTATTTGCATTACAAGAGCCATGTGTGCGTAAAAATGTTTTGTTTTGTTTATCTTTATTTTTTTTTAACCTTTCAAAATCTTAGGTTCCGACCTCATTTTCTTTATGATACTTAAGACTAGTATTTTCTGTTAGTTTTATTTCCTTTGAATTATCTTTAATTCGTTCTGAATTTATTACCTTAAACCCAAACACGTGTCTTCTGGATACGGCTTTGGTAGTATGGCATGGTACGTATTAGTCACCTAGTAAAGTTCAGTTAGGGTTTTCTCCAGGCTAGACCCCCGATTTAATGTCATTTTTTTTCTCTAAGACGGAGCCTTGAAAACCACTGTAAAGGTTGAAAATGTCCTGTCAATGATTGAAGTCAGGGTCTTCGGCGCGGTGCGGCGCGGTGTGAGTAGAAATGTGTCGGTGTCATCAAAACCTTTCAACCATGTTTTTGTATGGTTCGATGATATTGCCAGGTGAACAGTTATGGTATCGATCGTAAAAGCAATGTATAACTTATGTCAACAACTAAAGTTAGCTGACAGTCGAAGACTATCAAGTTCAGGCGCGTCCGTCTTGAGAGACACACATTCCGAAAGAGACTTTTGTGTGTCAGATAGGATGGTACAGCTATGTAGTAGAGTAGTAGACGTTTTTTTTCTTCAATTTTCTCTTTATTCCATGCTTTCTGAATATTTTAAAAATGCTTTAGGGTGCTACGTACTTTCATACTTTTCCCTCCTAGGCGTTTATCTTTTTGTTAATGATAAATGTGTGTATTTTAACGACATTTTGGAATTTGGTAAGAGATAAGACCGTTCCGTGCCCTCACCCATCTTCAAACTTGGGTCTTCTTAAACTCGTTCAAGAAATTGGAACCATATTATCCTTCAGTATAATATGCGATTAGGATTTCCAAATGTTTGGCCAAACTGCGGCAAACATGCAGAAGACTGTAAATCTCTCTCATTTGTTCCATACTTCTCTGCGTTTTGGAAACGAGCGTTGTATCTTTGTTTATGTCGATTCACTGAATATGAAAAAATAAACTCCACTCTCACAGTCTTACCCAAGATTGTATACAACATAATTATGTCTCCTTCGACTTTAAAATGACATGTTTGTGTCTTGCAGAGCGTTCAATGCATTTAATTAAAAACAAAAACAAAAACAAAACCGGCTACATCTCCTCCATATAAAAGTTGTCCCTGCGA